AGAGGGGGGGGGGGGTGCGAGCAAGGAAACATGGGGACTTGGGGGAAAGTGGGTGAGGAGAGTAGCATAAAAAAATATTTTCTGCTCTCTAAACTACACTAAAAAATATTTTTGAAAAAAGTTTTCCACTCACCAAACAAACAAGGGAAAATAAGTGATAGAACCACAAAACATTTTCTATAAAAATATTTTCCATGGAAAATATTTTCCTTCGGACCAAACACACCCTTAGTCTCAAAGGTGGACCACAAAAGCTTTTTTGTTTTGTATACTAATACTTGTTCTACTATTTTGCTCAAGTCTGACTGAGAAAGATTTTCAAGGAGTAAAACAAATTAAAAAGATACACTAATATCAAGTATACTATGTTTAATACTACTATTTTGCTCAAATCCTCGAACTATTATTCAAAAACTCTTTCTTTTTTCTTGTAATTTATGTGGTAAAATAAATATTGACATTGTTGACAAAATTTATGTGTTCTTAGTTCTTCCTAAATGTTACTAACAATTAGGAGTATCATATCTTCCTACTCAAATTCTTTTCTTTTTCCTTAGGAAATGTAAAAAATATTTACCGAAAAAAAGAATATTTGGAGCCAGGGGGTGGTATTGCAAAATCTAAAACCGAAAGGATCTGATGGTAATTAACCCATTTCTGGGATGCGTCGGCTTGTAAGTGAATTTTACTGGAACCGACGAAGTAAGAAGTTTCGCTTTCCAAATCATTAGTTAAATAATCTTACATTTTAAACTTTCCAATTTGATTCTTTTTCATTTTTTCTCTTTCTTTCAACATCAAACAATTTATAGCACCCTAAGAAACAAACAAGTTTCTCACTCTTTCAGCTGACGCCTTAGTTTTGATTCATTCATCTTCTTTTCACTCTATTCTTCATTTTCCAAATATTCATTTCTTGAAACTTTTTCCCATAAAATTGCTCCTTTTCTGAAATCAATCACTTTGTTTTCCACTTTCTTTTTCCTTCTGAATTTGAAGTTGCAATCTTTATAGTGAATTGCTATTTTGGTTTTTCTTAGATTTTGAAAAAAGGGGGTGAATCAAAAAGTTTATTATTGATATTTCTTGGATTTGGGTCTGGTGGTCAGAAGTTTGTAGTGGGTCTTGGCCAAAATTGAGTCTGTTATTAATCTAAGCATTTGATTTGTTGGATTTTCTTGGAATTTTTGACCTCATGATTGTTCTTTGAAGTGGGAATTGATTTGTATTTGATCATTGATTTAGAGAGATGGCTGCAAAAGAGTTGATTGAGATCAAATTCAGGCTTGCTGATGGCAGTGATATTGGACCCAACAAGTATATGCCTAACACCAGAGTTGATACTCTTAAAGAAAAGATTATTGCACAGTGGCCCAAAGGTTGTAAATTTTCTTTAACTTTACTCATTATGTGATTCAATTGAAGAATACTACTTTTTTAAAAATTAAATCCAGCTCCTTTTCTTTGGGTGCATAATTTGTTTGCTTGTTGGATATTTTGCTGTTTGAGTTTGCAATTTGAAATTTAGTGCTTCCATTTCAGAGTTTATTTTTTCTATTGACAATAAGCAATTTCTTGTCCTTGTATTTTCTTGCTTTTATTCTATCTTGGACCAAGGGGGAAAGTTAGTGGTATGAACTTAAGATGATCACTTTGTGATTTTTTTAAATGGTTGCAGTTGATTGTTACATTGACTGGAGTTTTGTCTCATGAAACTGTCCGTTTAAGGAGAGTTAAACCTTGTATTTTCCATCATAAGTGAAAGATTCTAAACAAGGGATATATGGACTGGGACCATGGATTTTCTTTCGATTTACCATTTCAACAATTTGATGCATTTTGCTAAGAGAATGAATATACCTGATTACTCTTTATGTTCCGTCTTTTCATCCTTTGTGCCACCACGATCTGCTTATTGAATTTAAGCTGGGAAAGTCCATGTTCCTGACAATTTATACTCCAGTAGACCAGTACAGACCTGCTGCATATCGATTTACAAAAAAGTAACATACATTTAAGACCTCTATCCTTACACTGATCTTGAATATTTATAGTAGAGGCAATTGTCCCACAGTGGTTATATTGATCATCAGTTTATTGAGTTTTTGATAATCTTACATACTTCTGCCCCTTCGTTGCGTATTCTTGACTATTATTGGTTGAGTACATCTCCTGATTGTTTTGAGATATCCCTTCATTCCATGTGCCATTTTTATGTGAATATTCATAACCTGTTGAATTCAGTTATAATTAATTCTGCAAGATCCTGGTGTCTGCCTTAATGTTTGATATTTGTCACATCTGTTACGCAAGAATTTGAAGTTTAATCAGTGGCAACTATAGTTGAATTATTGAAAGGAAATCTCTTTTAATTCACAACATTGATAAATAAGCTTACAATACATTAGGATTCTTACTTGTGGACTTCACCACCTCTTTTGCAAGAGCAGTTAGCTTCATTTTAGCAAATCTAACCTTCCTCTCATCAGACAAGTCATACCAGTCAAAATATTCCTCCATAGCTGATAGCCAATCAGCAAATATAGTTGGATTGAGCTTTCCATCAAAATCTGGTAAGTCCATTTTGACCTTCTTTCTGATGTTCCTTGTAGTACCTTGATTTTCATTGAGGGGTCCGTTTAGTAAAGGTCGACTCGATGGTGGTTGAGGCATCTGCAGAGGCCTTTTTGCCACAACTCTTTTTTCAGTTGGATTAGTTGGTTGGTCAAAATTGTGAGCATCTTCTCCGGCCTCTGGTCTTTCATGTGAAACAATTTGGACAGATACCTTTTTTCCGTTCACTGATAAATCAGTTGGCGGCTTCGAGTTCTGCAACTCAAGCGCTCCCACACGAGCTTTTAGATTCTGAACTTGCTCAGCTAACTGCAGTAGCAACTCATCCCTTTGACTATCAGTTAGTTTCTCGAGTGAAGGTTTTCCCACGTTATTTGACATGATGCCGACCCCTCAAATACCAAACAAAGAGATTAGGTTCTTTTGGCCTGGATATGAACTGACAACGAGAAGGATGATAATATGGACCACAGTATACCCAGGGAAATTGAGGTTTTCCAACTTAGAAGCTGAGCAAAGATGCAGAGATGAATGAGGTCAAGAAGAGAGAGAGAGAGATTAAATATATTTCTGAAATATTATGTTTTCTCCAACTTGAGGGTTAACATGCATTTTATAAGAACAATTACTTGGGCATCAAGCAAGGATGAGATCAGGGAAGCAATTGTTTGTCAAACTTGCTTCCTCAGACTCCATAGACTTGTTGTCCAAGTTTTGACTATTGAAGAATTTAAAATACAAACTTATAATACTGAAATACCTAGAAGACACAATAGAATTCTTACGGGATATACTTACGAGTAGGAGTAAGGGAAAACAATCCAACCACACCTCTCTCACTGCGTGGCTTTCTGCATCTCACTGGTGAACCTTGGAGCATATGCAGCAGATTCACCAGAAGCAGGGGCGGCTCAAGCACATACGGGGCCTAAAGCCAAAGTTTAATATGAGGCCTAAATTTATAAAAGAAAGTTATAAGATAGGTTTTTATTTGAAGTCTATTCTTCTAATTTTTTGAGATATAAAGTTGTTAATAATTTTTTTTATAATCGATTTTCTCTAATAATTCTTGCTAGATTGATAATATAGCCAACTTATTTAATCTTTCTTGAGATATTGTTGATCTTAGATAAGATTTTACAGAGCAATAGAAGTATGAAAGTATTGATGAACACTTGAACTAGTGAAATCACGGAGAAAGAAGGCGAGTAATGAAATCTTGGAGAAAGAAGGTGAGTAAGAATATCAAAGAGAAACACAAAAAATATGTAGGGTTTTCTGAAATATGAAGAGAGCAAGGAAGAGAGCAAATTTTTTAATGGAGTAAAACATGGGAAACTGAAAGTTGGAAAAATTATTCATCTACTCATTTTTAAGTAAGTCAAATTATTGTTTTATTTATATATCTAAAAAGTTTTCTTTCCTTTTTATTAAAAACTCTACTTTTATATTAAAAGTACTAAATATTATTCTTTTAAATATCTATGAACCTATTATTTTCTTATAATGGGACCCCCCAAATTTGGTGGCCTAAGGCACAAGTCTTACTACACATAAGGTTGGAGCCGGCCATGACCAGAAGCGTACCCACTTTAAGTACATATATGCAAACATACCTGCTAAGAAAATGAACTTAAACAACTTCAAGGTATTAACCTTTCCTATGACAATATTAGCTCTAGAATTTGGATCCGTCTTGTCATTTCCAGACCATCTTTATTAGTATTTGCATAACCTGTTTGCCAATAATTGCAAATTGATGAAAGTGGAGGGATATCCTTCTGTTATCCCACTTCTTTTGCTTTAAATCCAAATAAAAAGTGTTTTACTTTTGCTAGTTAAACTAATGACAAAGCTCCGAATCTCCAGTAACAATAAAGGTGGGATGTTGCCATTTGTTCATCTGTTACTGTTATGAGTTAATTTTAAGACCTGTCTCAAAAAGCTATAAAAGGAGCACATAATATGATGACGGGTGTTTTTTCCTTCTTCCTTGTTTTTCTGATGGCAACATATTTTGTGCTATTTGATCAGTGGCTCGAATGTTTTGTCTTATAGGAAATTTGAATCTGCAATCACATGTGCTGCTCTTAATTTAACTACTCGTTTACTCAGCTACAGTCCTCTTTGCTGACATAATATCTCAAATTGGCAGATAAAGATTATGGGCCAAAGACAATAAATGATGTGAAGCTTATTAATGCTGGAAGGATACTTGAGAACAGTAAAACACTTGGTGAATCCAGACTTCCAGTTGCTGAAGTACCAGGAGGTGTCATCACCATGCATGTTGTTGTCCGCCCTCCTATGAATGAGAAAAGCAGTGGTAAGTTACACTTCTATAATTATCGATACTGAGATCATGGTGACTGTGTATCAGATAGATGCTTTAATTGTATCATGTACTCGTTTTTAAAGTACATGAATATAGTAGGACGGCCGTCACTAATCGCCTGTAGCTCGTGTCCCATTGAGGATACTCATAATAAGAGCATCAACTTATAACTGCTCAGATTGTCTTATCCTGTTTTTGACATTCCTTTGTCAAAATCTTTAGCTGTAACAACTCAATCGCATTTTCCTGTTTTTTCTTTTTTTACTTTCCTTCATCCAAATCTGTTTTTGTTTCACTTGCAGTAGAAGATATAAAATCATGATGCCAAAGCAAATCCTATCTGAAAGTATCAAAAAGCTATTGACCAACAGTATTACTATATTTTTATTTACATTGTCTAGAAGATAATACTCCCTCCCTCATAATGTACTTGGTCCTTTTCCCTTGTCCGTCCCAAAAGATGACACCTTCTAATTTAGAACTAGTTAATTTAACACTCATTGTTCCGTTGGCATAACTTGTTGTAAGTTCTGTTGGATGCAGTAAGAATTTGTTTGGTACGACAGTGCTTTTGGTATTCTTTGAATATATTTAGCTTATACTATGTGAAAAATCTTAATTTCCTTATTAACCTCCGTGTCCTAAAGAATTGGGAAAGAGAGTAAGTATTAGGTGATAAATTCTTTTAGCTTGCTGAGGATGACAAATTCTTTTAGCTTGCCTACATCACCCCTTGGGTTGCGGCCCTTCCCCGAACCCTGCGTGAATGCGGGATGCTTTGGGCTGCCCTTTACGTGCTGAGATGACAGCTCCAATTCAACTTCTCAACCTTGATTCACTTAGTCACCTC